TGCAGTGCAAACAGCTTTCATGAGAGGAGCCCATATGGTTGTCGTGATGTACTAACTTCTAATTATGCTGAGAACCTTGGAAATTATTGAATTATAACATAGGAGAGATGCGATTGATTGGTCGTTTGACAGAGACTAAAACTGCAGCTATTTTGATAATTGAATAAACATTTTAGTTATTTTTCAACCAAAAATGCCAAATATTTACCAGTTCAAGATTCTCAAATATGGTAACTTGATGCTTTTATTGTCATGCATGATAATAAAGTTGCACTCTGTATCCTGAACCTGAGACTTTCTCTACGGCACTGACATGAAATGAATTGAAATGAGCCAGCAGTACACCCTAATCATCTTCCATCTTGCAGCAAACTAGAACAAATAACCTTTCATAATCTGCAAACACTAATTGTATCAGAATTGTTCAGATGTGTCCTTTGGCTGGTTTGTGTGCGGTGTGAGTATGCTCGCTGTCTGTGGGTTCTGTTTACGTGCCAGGGCAGAGACTTGTGCAAACAGCACTATGACAGGAAAACATAACATGACAGGACTTTTAACTGCACCATCTGCCTTTGGCTGCAGATCTGTGGTGCTGTTTATTCACATCTTGCCACTGTGTAGATACATAACATAATATTATTTCCTATTCAGAGAAGCCATCTCCCGTTTGGTATGCCATTTCGCACCACTGTAAATTGGCACAGGTGTTTAAAAAGAATGAGACAAGTAAAGGTGATGAAAGGATAACGATTTACCTTCATACCCTCCAATTCGTATACCTGTCATAATCACCCACCTTTTTGCTCATAGTGATGCTTTGCCTTCGTGAGCAAAAAAAGCAGGTGTGCTTCAACATGCCCAAACAATATGTGTTCTTAAGACCTCGCAGTGTGAGCAGGTCACGATTAAAGAGGCTTATCTCACCTGGTTCACTCACAGAACTAGAGGAGAATTCACTAAAAGATGCACAGCACAGGAAGAGAAGAAACAGTGCTATAAAAACAAATCTTCAAATGCCTCGATGACCAGTAAATATAACTGTGAGGAAGTGTGTTGAACTAAAAGCTGAGATCTCCCTCAGAATCAGTGGGGCTAGCAATAGAATAGTGCATTAGAGCACTCTTTGTTAAAATTCATATCCTCCCATTTTTGAGTGTGTTACTTGTGACACACCTAACTCGTCCACCCATACACACACAGCAAAGCACTGTGGCTGGACTGATCTATCTCCTTTCTGTCACTTCTATTTAGTATCAGGGTGTTTGGTGCCAACATAGAGAGCCTGCGGAGACCATCCAATCAATAAAAGTCTGGATATAAAATACAACTCAGATTGATTAATTGTTTCTGGCAAATTGGAACCAATTCAAACCTCATGCCTGCCAGGCAAAAACATCACAGGCTTGCGGGTGTGGAAACAATACTGTTACTCCCCCTATAAGACCAAGAACTAGAGCAAATAACCGATAGCCTCCCAGAGTTACCACCTCCATCATACAGACACTACACTTTGTCTTGACAAACATCCTTCTGGGGAGAATACTTTGGAAACCTGTGTGTTAGCAAAATGTGTAATAAACTGCAATTTGACTTAAACTGTGGCCTTCCTACACTCCACGAATTTCAAATTAAGAATGGTGATGTTATTCTACCTACACGTATCATCGATTCTGCACAGCCAAAGTCTGACACCAGTGGTAAGTACCTTATGCCTGTAAACTTTATACAGTCAGGTCCATAATTATTTGGACAATGATACAGTTGTCATCATTTTGGCTCTGTACACCACCACAATGGGTTTTAAATGAAACAATGAATACCTGCTTAAAGTGCAGACTCTCAGCTTTCATTTAAGGCTTTTTTCAAAAATGTAGTATGAACCGTGTAGGAATTACAACCATTTCTTCACACAGTCCCCCGACTTTAAGGGCTCATAAGTATTTGGACAAATTAACATAATCATCAATTAAACAGTCAGTTTTAATACTTGGTTAATACTTGACTGCAAATCCTTTGCAGTCAATGACTGCCTTAAGTGTTGGACACATAGACATCACCAGATGCTGGGCTTCTTCCCTGGTGATGCTCTGCCAGCCCTTTACTGTAGCCGTCTGCACTTCCTGCTTGTGTTTTGGGTGTTTTGCCCTCAGTTTTGGCTTCAGCAAGAGAAACGCATGCTCAATTGGATTCAGGTCAGATGATATGACTTGGCCATCACAGAACATTCCTTTTCTTTGTCTTAAAAATGTCTTTGGTTGCTTTTGCAGTATGCTTCAGGTCATTGTCCATCTGCACTGTGAAGCATCGTCTAATGAGTTTTGAAGCATTTGGTTGAATCTGAGCAGATAATGTAGCCCCAAACACTTCAGCTTTCATCCTGCTGCTCTTCTCAGCAGTCACATCATCAATAAATACAAGAGAACCAGTTCCACTTGCAGCCATACATGGCCATGACATAACAGTACCTCCACCATGCTTCACTGATGAGGTGGTGTGCTTTGGATCATGAGCAGTTCCTTCCCTTCTTCCTTCTCTTGTCTTCCCATCATTCTGGTAGTTGATCTTTGTTTTATCTGTCCATAGTATGCTGTTCCACAACTGTACAGGCTTTTTAGATGGTTTTTGACGAACTCTAATATGGCCTTCCATTTTTAAGGCTAACCAATGGTTTACATCTTGTGATAAATCCTCTGTATTTATTCTAGTGAAGTCTTCTCTTGCTGACAAGAGCAGCAGGATGAAAGCTGAAGTGTTTGGGGCACCATTATCTGCTCAGATTCAACCAAATGCTTCAAAGCTCATTAGACGATGCTTCACAGTGCAGATGGACATTGACCTGAAGCATACTGCAAAAGCAACCAAAGACATTTTTAAGACAAAGAAAAGGAATGTTCTGTGATGGTCAAGTCATATCATCTGATCTGAATCCAATTGAGCATGCGTTTCTCTTGCTGAAGCCAAAACTGAGGGCAAAACACCCAAAACACAAGCAGGAAGTGCAGACGGCTGCAGTAAAGGGCTGGCAGAGCATCACCAGGGAAGAAACCCAGCATCTGATGATGCCTATGTGTCCAACACTTCAGGCAGTCATTGACTGCAAAGGATTTGCAACCAAGTATTAAAACTGACTGTTTAATTGATGATTATGTTAATTTGTCCAAATACTTATGAGCCCTTAAAGTTGGGGGACTGTGTGAAGAAATGGTTGTAATTCCTACACGGTTCATACTACATTTTTGAAAAAAGCCTTAAATGAAAGCTGAGAGTCTGCACTTTAAGCAGGTATTCATTGTTTCATTTAAAACCCATTGTGGTGGTGTACAGAGCCAAAATGACGACAACTGTATCATTGTCCAAATAATTATGGACCTGACTGTATATATGAACTTAGAGCTTAGCCGGAAGGCGAAGCTTTCGATTTACTGATCCATCTTTTTTTTTTAATTTATCTTTTTTATTTGTTGTAGAGGGACAATGTACATTAATGAACATTTTAAAAAAAAATGTAAATGCACCCAATTGTAGCCAAAAGGCTAATTTCCATTGGCAGTCCCCCTGCCAGAAGGAACATGGCTAAGTGACCCGAGGAGTCACAGCGCTGCTCCTGTAGATGTTTTCAGATACATATCCGGGTTCCAAGACGCCAAACTCGCCACTCGCTTCACACGTAGGAGATGGGCCGGGACATTGGTGAATATCCCTGGACATCAGAAGGCAGATGGCAATTATAAATGCCTCAAAACTTTGACATTTGGATGTGGTCTTGACAGTTCCCTTTCCGTGACGTTTCGAGTAGATATGGCAGCTTGGATACAGGAAAGTGGACAGCAGCACGAAACTGCCATATCCAAAATGTTTGAGGGTGATTTTACTCCATTCACTAGAAAAACACTTATTAAAATAAGGCCCTGTGTCGACAAGTTTAGGCCCTGTATCTAAAAACTTTAAAAGGAGGCAGTAAGCTAAAAGTGTCAGGAGTACACCTGAGCCTCCTGCTGCAGCCATCTTTCCTCCTCAGTCCCCCTGCCTGAGATATGAGATATGACATGCAAAATCTACATTCCAACCCTCACCTATGGTCAAGAGCTATGGTTAATGACCAAAAGAATGAGATCGCGGATACAAGTGACCGAAATGGAGAACAGTTTCCTCAGAAGGGTGGCTGGGCTCAGCCTTAGAGATAGGGTAAGGAGCTAGGACATCCGGAGTAGAGCTGCTACTCCTTCACGTCAGAAGGGGTCAGTTGAGTTGGTACGGGGCATCTAATCAGGATGCCTACAGGGCATTCCCGTTGTAGGGCGCGTCCCACTAGTAGGAGGCCCCAGGGCAGACCCAGAACACGCGCGAGGGATTATATATCTTGTCTGGCCTGGGAATGCTTCAGGGACTCCCAAAAGGAGCTGGAAAGCATTGCTAGGGAGAGGGACGTCTGGAATGCTGTGCTTGGCCTGCTGCCCCTGCACCCCGGGTCCGGATAAGCAGTTGAAAATAAATTGATGGATAAACAAGCTTCATACCAAAGCATTTGGGTGATGTACTTGTTGATTACAATAGTGAGTGCAGTTTACTCCTCTCAGCAGTGTAAATACTAAACCATCTGCGTGACATGGAGCTACTCTCCAGTGATCAAAAATAGAGTGGCAAAGCCATTTTTCAAATAGACTTCCCTGGTCATGTTCATGTTCACAGAATATGTCACCCACTGCAACAACTTCACTCTCTAATATGTTTAAACAATTTCGGGAGCTCCATGGTGCAGAGGCTTAAGCTTTGTCTGCCTGTGGCTACACAGATGATACTTGTTTCTAGGATGAAATTCATTGCTTATTTTATGTCGATAAATTTAAAAATAGACCATATCAGCAGCCCTATTATTGAATATTCGAAACTAGATTTCAGTTTACAAGGCAGTTGCTAAAACTGCTATACTTCTCTATAATATGTAGTGAAAAGTAGGATCTGAGCAATAGTGTCATGTCTGTTATGTATGATATCTTTACCTTCTCCTTGGTGCCAGCTTGTGTGGTATCAGGCCTGGTACGGATGGTAAATGGGGATGCAAGCCTCAGCAGGATGCCCTGGAACGAAGGATCCATCTTGGGTGAGACAATCTCAAAAAAGTCCTTGAACGAGAGGCCCCGGTGAGATTCAATGCGAGTCTGTTTCCTCAATCCTTCTCCAAGCTGCAGTAGCTCCATGCAAGGCCCCAGGACAAGGTGAAATGGAAAGGCACGGCAAAACGTCGCCAGGCCTATGCGCAGATCACTGGGGTTGGTGGAGAGTGAAAGTGGGGGGCGTTTAGTGCTCACTGAGGCAGAATTTGGGAGGGAGGAGAGGGAAGGGGGGCTCGTCTCCTGGATTTGGAAAGACAAGCAAACTGCAGGAACAGAGGTTGGGAAAGGAGAGGGAGGGGAAGGGGACGAGGAGGGTGAGGCAGTGGGGGACGCAGTCGGGGTGGGGGTTGTGGAGTCACCGTCTGTGTGTTCTGTATCTTCATTAGGCAATAAGGGAGTTAGAGGTGGCACCTCTTCCACCTCAACTTCTGCATGAAAGATCCGCTTGGCAACAGCTTTGATTAACCCCGGCATGACCAATCCAACAACAGGGGCAGGGTTGAAACAATGAAGAAGCAACACCTTCCCTTTTCCATCTCTCTCTCCAACTTTGTCCAATTTTCTTCTCCCCGTCTCCTCTTCATAGGGATCCTTGCACTGGAAGGAGGGGCTCTCTGATGAGGCACGGCGCCCCGTGGAGGTGCGAATGTGTTCCAAAATGGCGTCAAAGCCATTGAAGAAGTCCTGGAGGTTGCCGCCCACAGCCCGCAGCACTCTTTCATTTTCTTCAAAGCAGAGGCCGAAGAACTCCTCTCCAAAATGCTCTCGCAGCTCACAGAATGGTACTCCTGTGAGAGAGAGGAAGCAAAACACTGATGTCAGCGGTGCAGAATAGCACTCTTTTGAGGATACACACACATTTTCAACGTCATAGACTGATACACAATACACCTAACCCGCCCACACACACATGTAAACCTACATGGATATTAGCAGTATGATTGAGGAGATATGTCATTAAATCTGCACTTGACCACTTAGCCCCCTTGTATATAATAATTTACGGTTACAGCTGCCTTACATTAAGCCGAGCATTACCTCTGCTCCATGATGTTTAGATCAAGATTTAAATTCAGCACAAATCATTTTAAGCATAAAAACCACAGAATAACAGTGCTCAATGTAATCAAACATCAAAGCCTCTCTAAAATAATGAATATTGATAAGATAAAATAATCTTGTCACATGCCTACTAATAATAAGAAAGGAATAGGATTAAAGGATTATGGCAAAATTAAAACTGGCATTTAATATTAATAAAACCTGACACCAGAAAATATAGCAAAACCAGTAAAATCCAAATATGTGCAGGAAAATAAACTGAATTTGGAAAGCATTAATAATGACTTTGACGGGCACAGCTAGAGTTGCAGAAAGAAAACTGAAAACAATGCAATTCAAGAAGTGACACAAACTCTGAAGACACAATTCAGAATGGTGTTACAAACAGATACACTCATTTACAACTTACATACTTTGACATAGCACCCACACTTGAAAAACTGACTCCGCTTAAACAACATTACACCACAGGAGTAATTTTGGTATTTCATGTCTAGGAGTGTTCTGCAGGTGTGCAGATATAGTGACTACAGTGCCAAATCCTATAAACACATCACTGTGCCTTTAAAAAACTCACTTCACCAGCTATTATGCATATGCATATTATTTGCAATATGCATGTCCCAAACTGAACTTATGACAGCTCAGAAATGACACTGACAGCCAGGTCAGTATGGCATCGGCAATGACGTGGGTATTTTACCAAACTGTTGGGCTGATGTTGGTGCTATTCCGAAAGGTGAAGCTTAGTGTTGTACCAAACTCAGAATTATGTCAGTTGGATTGGATTTAGCTGTTCAATAAGAATATTTGACAATTCATTCCTTTCTTTCCTGATAGAGTTTGAAAAGGGTTCATTCAGGGTGACAGCACCTTTCATGTAATATAGTAAACCAGCCAAGTTAGCCCTCCCAGCTAATGCATGCTAACTATGCTAAAGACTGAAAGATATCAAACAAAAGCCAGAGACTGTATCATATTAAGTTGTTGTGAGAAAATAATGTTATCTCAGAGTCTGACTGGACAAAGCTTCCTTCCATCTTCCTCCTGGCAGATGCCTCCATCACACTCAGACTCGCCTTGGGTCTGGGTCTGCAGCTGCCTGTACCGCAGAGCAGTGTGAAAGCAAGGAGCACTCACCCTGCAGCTAAATCTGGGAACTAAAAGGTCCCCAGAAGTACACTGACAAACAAACAAACAAGGAAAGACTGCTCAACTTCCAGGGGACAACCCTAGTGAAGATTAAGGGTTTTCTTGGCATGATAGGAGGACTTAACCTTTAATGACGGACTTTGGACATCAGAGTTTAGAGTAGAACTGTTGCTCATTTTAATCAAAAAGAAGTCAGCTGAGGCAGTTTGAGCAGAGCTGCCTTCACTGGCTGCACAGCCTCCTGGACACCTCCCTGTGGATGTACTGCAGGCACATTCAAGTGGGAGTTGATCCCTAGGCAGATCCAGAACATGCTGCAGGGATTATATATCCCATCTGGCCAGGGAACACCTCGGGATCCCACAGGAAGAGCAAGAAGACGTGACTGGGGAGAAAGATGTCTGAGCTACTTGCTTAGCCTGCTGCCACCATGACTCACATCCAGATAAGTGCCATAAAATGGATGGCTAAATGGATAAACTGCGACTTGTGAGCTCTTGTGCTTTATCCACAGAATGCACATGAGGGCTGTATAAGGTAAAGACGGTGTGCCATGCTGCTGCCTGTCTAAAACAGCTGCTTTAAGAACATATTGATTGCAAGCATGGCTGTAAAAAGAGAGTAATGGAGATAAACAGAAAGATAAGAAGATGACTGAAGGACAGAGTTAACAAATACAAAGGTGGTGTGCAGTTAATGCATACAGTGATGGTGGCTTTGCATAACAGAATAACACGACAGAGAGGGAGGACTAGAAGGAGGTAAAATACTGAAGATAAGAGGCAGGAAGAGATCTTAGATGTTGGAGAGGGAGGACAAAGCTGTACTGAGTGACTCACAGAGACAATGTGTGTGTGTGTGTGTGTGTGTGTGTGTGTGTGTGTGTGTTTTTTCATATTAGGCCATAGAGACAGTGTAAGCCTCAAGAGTGAGTCATGCGGTGTGTATGTGTGTGTGTGAGTGTGTGTTTTTGCATGTGTTAATAGTTGTATATTTGTGTCTGCATGCACACTACCTAGGCTATGATACCATATTTCCCTTTTTCATTAAAAGTGTCTACAATATGTTTTAGAGGTCTAGCCTCTGGGGGATGGCTCTGTTTGATTGTGTAAGTGTCCACATACACACACACACACACACACACATATATAAACAAACAGTACTAATACTGAAGGACATGCATAGGGAGAAACAGAGAGAAGTAGTGCCTTTGAGTGTCTTGCCGTGTAATAAAAATAAAACAGTACTGTACAATCAATCCAAACCACAAAATTAAAACAGCGTTCCTACACATTTGGGATTTCAAAATTCCATACATTTCCATACCCTAATTTCCAGACTTCTCAGCGGTTTTTTTTTTTTTTTCAGAGAATATGCGACATCTGAGTAAATATATCAGTGTATCATATTTCACATCATATTTAATTATTCTTAATAGGCGATTGTAGCCAAGTACCATAATGGCATGCAAATAAAAACTCAGGTAAGTTCAATGTCTGGGCTGAGGCAAAAAGGTTGGGACTCTGGGTGCAAGCGATGCAGTAACGAGACGTCGGCGTTTTTTCCTTTCATGTGGCTCAGAATCACCTTCTCCCCCATGTTCATTCATTCATCTTCTAACCGCTTCATCCTCTTGAGGGTCGCGGGGGGGCTGGAGCCTATCCCAGCAGACATCAGGCGAGAGGCAGGGTACACCCTGGACAGGTCACCAGACTATCGCAGGGCTGACACATAGAGACAAACAACCATTCACGCTCACATTCACACCTATGGACAATTTAGAGTTACCAATTAACCTAGTCCCCAATCTGCATGTCTTTGGACTTTGGACACACCACCGTGCCGACCTCTCCCCCATGTTGGCGATGTCAAATGATTTCACACAAAGCTTGCATCTAGCTCTGTGTGTGAATTGGGAATCCTTGGCCAACCAGTATTTATATTCAGTATTGTCAAGCCATCCATCCAGAAACTTGCATCTACCCATTGTGAACCTCGTGAAACTCGTCTTCTTGTCGAAGGTGCAGTGTTGGAGTGAAACTTGATACCTGGGGGGCTGGAGGAGGGTCATGGGGCAGCGGACTGGACATACCACTTGTCAATCAGGTAAAAGGGGCGGTATGTTTTCTGAGACGTTTGCTCTCATACAAACTGTGCTTGGCCCAGCATAAAACATGATCCGGATTGATTAAATTATTTTTGGAAATACCTAATTTTCTATTTTAGAAAACAATATTTTAGAACAGTGGTAATAGTCTGGAAACATATATATTTTTCCATACTTTATTTTTCATTTTCCATACTTGTTAATACCTGGAAATTGATCAAATTTATTTCCATACTTTTCCATACTTTCCATACTTGCGTAGGAACCCTGTTAAAAAGACCACAGTTGCAAAGGGAAAACTATATACCCACATTACTCAAATGCAGAGGAGGCCACACACACATATACACAGAGTCTTCCTGTCAAGCACACTATTTGCCTTACTTCACACACTTACCCAGTATGGTGGCCATGTACTGCAGGATTTGTAGGACATCTTCTTCTGAACCAGAATTTTCTAGAAACGGGCACTTCTCCTCGTTCTTCTCTCTTCGCCTCTCCTCACTGCCGACTTCCTGACACCTGTAAAAGACACAAACCACACACACACAAGGTTAGCTGTTAAATGAGCTAATAGGAAGAGCTAATAAGGTGCTAATAAGCTAATAACACAATGAACTGCCATCGCATCCCGGCAAGATGTAGCATGGGTATGTATGGGTTGTGTGTATGTGTGCCAAAAGCCATCAGACTGTGTAATACCTCACTACAATCGGTGCTGTCACCAGTTCTTTAGGATTGTTTCCGCATAAGAAAGTAGATCTACTGGGAGGCGAAATTGGTGCCGAGATTGTCAAAAGCCATTTTCCAGTGCAGTGAGCTCTATAAACAAAACTCCATTCAATACCATTTTGTTGGGGTGGTGGCAAAACTCTCAGAGACACTATCAACATGGATAGATACCATTAAAGCTACAGTTAGTAACTTTCATGGAAATAGCTTTGTGTCATATTTGCTGGAACTGTCACTATATTTTGAAAGAAATCTGTGAAGAACACCATGTCCCGCCTCCTCTTCCAAAAACTGCGATTGGCATTCGCTAGAATCCACCGAAACGCACCTAAAACGGCCAATCAGAGCCGAAGAGAGAACATAGCTGTCAATCATGTCAATCACTGCAACGCTGATCAAATATGAACCAAGATTCTGTAACTGCATTGCCTGTTTCTCACCTCAAATGTTTACAGAAACATATTTTAGTGTACTGTTTAGCTGCGAAATGAGAATGTTTGAGACACGGCCGCCATACCGAAAACAGTCAAGAGAAAACCAAGCAGAGCCCATCAGCCGGACCAACTTTCCCATTTTACAGCTAAACAGTGCACTAAAATATGTTTCTGAAAACACTGCTGGCGATAATAAGGCAATGCAGTGACAGAATCTTGATTCGTATTTGATTAGTGCCGCCTAGTTTGACAGATTCACCACAGTTAATGAGCAGTGATGTGTTGTTGTTGTTGTTCATTTGCAGTAAGACCATTAGAGATGCAAAGCATAAGAGTAGGCAGATCAATATGACTGCTGTGTGAATATGAAGACAGTTACAACAAACATGACAAAAGTAATTTTTTATGAAAGTTACCAATTGTAGCTTTAAAGTTAAGTGAGACTGCACTGAAGAATTTACATAATTGTGATTTGGGTGACCTGACACTTTAATTATCCTGTGCAGGTTCACATCTGTTGGTCACTGAGTGAATCCACTGAAACAGCCGGACATCAGAAAGGCAGGGAAATGTCCTCAAGGTCACCTCCACAGTGGTATTAACTGAAGAGCAAGTGATGCTCTTTCACTTCACACACTGATTTGTTTCAGTCTGGTTACAAAACCCACTGGTTACAAGCTTTATTTCTAAACTTTGCGGCATTCCCACGTATACTGTCCAAGATAATCAGAGTATAAAATGTTTATATTTCCACATTCCTAAAATACACAGATTCAGTTTAACTTATATACTCGACAAGTCACTCAATCTTATCCCAAAGAGACACAGAAACCATCCATCCATTTATTTATCTGTAACCCCTTATACTATTCAGGGTCATGGGGGGCGGGGGGTTGCTAGAGCCAATTCCAACTGACATTGGGCGAGAGGCGGGGTACTTCCTGGACAGGTGGCTAGACTTTCACAGTGCTGACACACAGCTAATCATACTCACACCTACTGGCACCTTAGAGTCAACAATTAGCTGTGGAGAACCCAGAGAAAACCCACGCTAACATGGGGAGAGCTAACTCAAGCCAGTGGGCTCGTACCTTGGGATCCTCTTGCTGCGATGCAACAGTGCACGACCACGCTGCCCCACACAGAAACCAGAGTAACAAAAATTACACTTCTAAAGGCCACAGAAAAACATCTTCATCAAGAAGCACACTACTTCATGTCAGTAAATGACTTGCTTAAACCAGGGGTCAGTTCCAATGAGCATGAATCAAGCGACTAACAGTATGAGTAAGAAACAAGCGGAGAAGGAAAGAGGACAGGAGAGAAAATGGCAAAAAATAGAGAGGTCCCAGTCCGGTGTCTATATTTGTATTCAGTATGTGCTTCATGGACAATGTTAGTACGTGTTGTGCCTGGCTGAATCCTGTCTACTGGGCTTTACTGTTTGGACAGCGAGGGACAGTGATAGAAAGGCAGAGACAAGAGGTGAAGGAGTGTGTCTGTGTACGTGTGTGTCTGTGTGACGGAAAAAAGACAAGGAAAGGCAAGGAAAATGAGGGGTAGCGGAGACAGTGAGAGGCTCACAGAGACTGAACCGGTGTGTGACAGACAGACGGACGGACAGACAGAAAGACAGACAGACAATTGGCGGGATTAAAGGCAAAGAGGGGAAAATGAGTGATCGGGACGCTAAGTCAAGGCAGCAAGTGAGTGGTGGAGAATGATTAAAGAAGACAAGGGTTAGAAAGAAAACCAGCACGCGAGAAAGACGGTCTTACCTGATCTCTTGTTGTCTGTAGAAGTGTAGCGTTCGCTGCAGAGCCTCCTGAACAGTCTGTGTCTGCAAGGAGAAGTGAGAATATTAGACAAGCATATGCATATTTGTGTGTGTGCATTTTTGCACGCATTTAATTATCAATACTGCACATATTCAGTCATTCCCATTGAGATCACTGAAATATATTAGGCACCAGTTGGCAGCTTCCTTTCTTGGTGCTGTAGATAGCTCACATCATATCAGTGTTAAAGCAACTTTCTAAGTGAATCAACATATATTTTTTGGGGAGCATGACACACAGTTGCCACAGACTTCGTACACCCTTGAACCATCTGAATAGACTGCCAGAGTATCATCTGAAGTGTTGAAGTGCAGCCAAGACACTGATGTTTACTGGGCCTTTTTTCACAGAGGACATTTTGGTGTGTCAAAACCAGAGCTGATGATTGTTGGAACAGTCGACTAACTCACTGACTAACATGACCAGCTAAGATGGTTTTGGTGAGTTTTATTTTGTTTGTGTCTAGTTTGAATGAATTGTGTTTTACATTAAGGTAACGAGGCAATAAAAGTAACCAGAGGGACTTGAATCTTGAATTCAGAAGGTGTACGGTTGTATTTCTCTGTTAAATAAGGAAAATGAGAGCAAGAATATTAACTCTCTTGTCATTTTATGAGTTCGCGTTGTTCTTTAATTAAAGAAACTGAGCAAGCTTGTGGAATACTCTCCAGTCAGGGTGGGGGGTGTTGCACCTCGCACTAATACCGTCATATACTATATTAGCTTGGTTCCAGACCATAGACCCCACCCACTCAACTGAGTAGGCTTGCATTACTGGTCTGGCATACTTCAATGAATTTGCGATTTATCTCGTCCAAACGATGGACGGACCAGTGAACGCCGGGAGTCTAGCGATTAGCCAAGCAGCGCCACGCTGATGTCAAGCTGTACGCCGGTGGGTAACTGGTGAGGATAGCAACAATGGCGACAGCTACAGATCCTACAGACCACATTAACGATGCTATTGAGGTATTTCGCCACTACTCGCGTTAATGGAGGACCAAATTAAGGAAGTTGCTAAACTGGATTTAACGGCTATGCAGCTGGGCGTGCACGACGACAGAGACATTTTAAATGGGCAATGCTCGTTTGTTTTCGGCACCCCCGAAGCATGGATACTAATGACGTCAGATTCTGGGTGAGTCGTTGATCTCTACTGATTGGTTAGGGAAAAATCAAATTCCCTCCCCCTTGTAAATCGCCTTCAATGGAAGCCATGTCAGACTGAAGGTTCTGGGAGCTTCAGTCTGACACTCAGGCTAATACTGTATACCCCTGTGAAATTTCAGGAGGGTATGAAGTGTGAAGAAACAGACACTGCCAAAACCTAATCTGTATTCCTACAGACATCTTATGAACTCTAAATATTGAATATTAACAATTTCTGCACATTTGTATCATGTTTGGCAAAAAATATGAATAAATATATAACAGTAAATGTTGCGTGAGTCTGAGTAACTATTTACTAAAGCTACTTTTACTGTCAGAGCCAATTCTAGAAAGCCCTAGTTTCCTATTATTTTTTGAGTCACTGTAATGTGCCACCCTACCTGGCATCTTGGGAACTTTTAATTAAAGGCAGGTGTGCTAAAGTGAGTGTGGAGCATGGAGGACGCAACGAGGTTACCATCTTCAATCACTATGTATTTGGTTAATCTTAGTTTTATTGTTTGATGCAGGGGAAAAAATACCCCATTGATTTGAACTTAGAAATTGGAAAGGCCTGTTTATTTGGAGATTATGGAGAATGTTTATTTTTTGACGCAACAGTTAAGACAATCAGTTGATAGCGTCATCCTGCAACTCTCCATACATCCTGCAAATCAATCAACTCTTAAACCAACTGAAGCACCCTGGATCATCAAACAGTGAGTAAAATTAAACCAAAGGCAGCAAGTTTATCATATCTCCCGTTATGGCATCTGTAGGCGGCTATTTTTGAACTTATTTGGGAGCCACAGTAATTACAGTCATCACTTCATTTCATATTTGTGAGCATTATATTATATATATAGTAGCTCTACTAATAACCCAGAATTCAAGGAACAAATAAAATGTTCCCATCAAATCAGATCTTTTTGTGTGTTTTCCATTTAATATTTCCTTCTTTCAAAGTTTTGCAAAACAAAAAAATAATGATATTAAAGGTGGCATTAATAATAACAATTTCCAGAAGACCACAATGCACTCCTCGTTTGTCTGTGTGTGTGAAGCTGGCGTATTTGCGTTGCTCACAGCCTAAGCTTGAGGAGGCGGGTCCAATGTGATTATCTGTGATACGGCTCAAATGCAAGGCTGTAGTGACAATACTAGAACACAGTGTGCCAGCTGGAGAGGTCATTTTAAGGCCTCCGCCCACTCCGGACAGATACAGTGATTGTGTGTGTGTGTGTGTGTGTGTGTGTGTGTGTGTGAGACTGAGAGGGGACAAGAGAATGAGATGAGGGAGTTGTGGGGTTGTAGAGCAAAAATATGAGGCACTGAGAGATGAGAGAGGCAGTGGGTGTGCAGTCCGAGGACAAATCTACATCTGCTCCAGTCAGCAGGTGTTTAAAAAGGTAAATAGAGTTCACTATCAGGTCAAATAAGATTGTATCTAACCAACTGGGCAAAGTATTGCAAATGTTTGAAGCTACTCCTCTCAGGGCTGACTCATTTTTCGTTATGCTGTCCTTAGGTCCATATCCTCAACTGAGAATATTGCAGCAGTCAGAGCCACTTGAACCAACGCCTGCTCACACAAAAACATTCTCACTTCTAGCTACACCGAGCCATACATCAACTTAGCAACAACAGGAGCAAGATGGGCACTTTATACAAGCCACTGTGCAGACATGATAGCTAAAAAAATACCCACTGGGCCATATTTTCACAGGCTATTTGAAAGCAAAAAAACACGCTTTATCTCCCTGTCACCTCTCTATTCCCCGCTTACACATTGGCGTGCATGTGTAAAACAGAAATGGTGTTCTCTCATGACAATCTCCTCTTACTGCGTCCCTGATTCGGCTACTCATTTACCACAGAGCATGCACATTACAGTGTGTGCATGAAAGATTTCCTACAACAAGCACTAACTGTTATCAGCCACGCATGTGCAAACATACTGTACACATACATCATCATTAGGCTGCATTGTTGCAATCGCTGGCATGTTTACTGTAGACACAACTCGATACCCCATCTCACATTAATCTCACTCAGTCAGACACACAAACCTGCTTAGATTGCAGGATTTGGCTTGCAGCTATAGACCGCTTGGTTCTTAAGATATATTGTTGAAAATCTGCTACAGCATCTGCACTGAGAGGACAATCTGATAGCAGCAAAACAGAATTATGGTAGCAAATTAAATGCTTTCCTGTAACTCTGTAAATATATTTAAAATGTTATTACTGCAACGATGGTGTGACAGGAGAAATGGCATGTAAGGGAAGATTAGAAAACCAAAATGTCCTCTTAAAAGGAGGCTAAATTTCAGATTAAGGGTTTAAACTAAAACTTTTTCTTGTTTAAAACATGCTCTCCTCTGCCTCTTTCTCTAGTCCTCTGTGGTCTTTACCCAAACCACTCTGTCTCTTTTGTTTGCTCTCTTTCTTTACCTTGGGAGGGGAGCAGAATCTCAACCATACTCGCTCCGTTCCTCTTACTCTGTTGCTCTGCATTGCTGTGTTTTCCCACTGAGATTCACTCACACTCTTCTCTACTGTATGTGAACCTGCCTTTCCTGTCTGTCTGTCTGTGTGACTGATTCCTTCCCTCCTTTTATTGCATCCTCCTCCTCCAAATTTCCATTAGCTTGAACTGGTGTTGTCTACGGTCACAGAACAGTGGGTACTGGTGCTTCAGCACAGTTGGAAAGCTGCCGCCACTACTAAAGAAAATAGAAACTCATGTGCCAGATGAGACCCTGCAAGATAAATCCCAGCGTGAGACAAATCAGGCCCCTCTTTCAGGAAGGAGGCGAGTAATAAAGCAGGTACAAAGAAAACAGTGCTGTTGCAATCTGCGTTTTTGAGGCCGTCTCTGAGGATATGAAGCATCGCAGTGTTCATGGCATAATGCAGCCAGAGCATTAGACATGGCAGGGTAAATATAAGACCTCCATACCTTTCTGACATTTTACCTGGGTAGACAGTACATGACAGTATTTGTGTAAAAAACCAACAACAACAACAAAACTGAGCTGCTAGTGATAGAAATCACTGTAGCCCTCCTGGGCTTGGAGCTGTAGTCGAGTTTGCAACATTTCACAAACTCAGATTTGAAGCAAGGGAATATTCATGCACCTATTTCCCTACTCAACAGGAAAATACAACTGTACACCTTTTGAATTCAAGTTCTCATCGTAAAACTTGAGTCAAACTCGACAGAAACAAAATAAAAGTCTTGGTTAGTCTTTCCATTGTTTCAACAATCATCAACTCTGATTTGGTCCAAATAAACCCTTAACTCACCAAGTTGGATATGAAAATACGCAAGCTCTACACACTGTTTTTCCCTGCTGCCTCCATCTATCGTTGCTGGCTGGGTGTCTTATAGTCCTGTAACATTATCCCTATCTCTCGCAGTCGCCATCTTTCTCAATTCAGCTGCCTGTTCCACCAGTACAGACTGACATCTGGTGTTGTGTTCTGTGAACAATACATCTTGAATACAGCCTCTCTGTATCACTTTAAAAGAAAGACTAGTGTCAATTTTTAAAATCAAAAAGAAAGAAAACATGGAAGCTCTACTTCTGTACATTGACATCTATGAGCCACAGTTACTCACAACCCATTAGTCACGTGCAACAATTTCTACTGTAGTTAATACTACTTTCAAAATCCCTTCATTACTTGTCCCAGCTTCACTATCAACTGTCCAACAATACTGAAAATGCTAAAAAAAAAAAAAAAATCATCTTAACAGTTTTATAACAAATCAATTTTACTTATAGGCAACAAGTTCTTTTGAAACTTGTTGAATCACAAAATGTTTTTCATTATCTGCACAGAGATCAAACTGCGGTGAGGAAGGAATTTTTATATTGTTTATCACTGCTTTGTGCAGTTAGAGACAAACAAAATGTTTTACAATCATTTATTGACGTGTTGTTCAGGTCACGTTCTAAAATCTGTACTATTATGGTGTTTACAAGATTTTTTTGAGAATAGAAAATGGCCAATAGCATTATCAAGAAATATTTTCTCCTGCGGGAACAAAATTACCAAGGGTGTAAGACAGTACCTTTCCCCACAATTTTAACCTCATTTGTATACACACAATAAAGACAGGCTGATCGCAGCAAAAAGCCAACTTCAATAGGTTAATTTACATAAATGAAATTAGCTGGGCTGGGTCCAGTTGCTTGACTCAGCTGAGACTCGGCATCAATGTCACCCCAGAATCAGGCCAAATCAGCTGGCGTGATTCCGGCTGTGGACACTGCCATCACTGGGCTGTTATCAGAAATGACCTGGCCCAGCATCGGCCCAAACTCGGCATGCCAGATGAAATTAGCTGGGCTGCATCTGGTTGTCCGACTCAGCTGAGACTCAGTGTGAATGACGCCCCAGAATTGGGCCGAATCAGCTGGCCTGACTCCTGCTGCCGACACTGCCATCACTGGGTATACAGCACAATAACCAAAGTGCATATTTACTTAAGCAAGGTAGATATACTTCTTAATAAATCTGGTCCCTTATGGGGAAACTGTGACCACAAATTTTAGATGTGGATTGAATAACAGACACACACACTCACACACTCTTCTCACACTTTTCATATTTGTGTCCAACACTCGTGGCCTTTTGATCGGCGTCATGGGTCACTAAGCTAATGGCCACCTTCCATGTGTATACACGAAACTAAGAGGGGGGAGCAGGAGGGAGACAGAAATGTTTGCACACATGTTAGAGTGTGTGTGTGCGTGTGTGTGTTGTTGCTTCTGGGTCAGTGTGGTCGGGGTGAAGACAACCACAGAGAGCATGCTCTGTTCTCTCTGTCACGGTCCATTGCAGTCAACAACAGACACTGCCCCTGCACGCAGCCACTGTGCGTGTGTGTCTATGTGTGAGAGAACAAAAAAGATAATAAACTGTGTGTTGTGTTGTGAGTGAGAGAGTGAATATGTTTATGTTTATTAGCTAATTTGCTAGTGTATGGTCCTACTTACTTAGCTATATTTTTTATGGCACCATCACTAGAAATGTATTTCAAAAGTGGACAAACAAACACTTGAGGAGAAATGCACTGTATGGCTGTTTGGCAGAGGGAGTTTAAGCTGCTCTATCACAGTCCAACCTAACACACACGTACATCAAACACTGGGAAAAAATCCTTGTCCCTGGGATCAAAGCACAACACCATAATGACCCTTACATATTTAAATGTAAAAGGCTCCATTGCCGCCCAGCTGATGCCTGTAACTGCACTTAAAGGCAACAAAAACATACTTGCACACAGACACACACACAGCTCCGCAATGCTAGATACGATTGTCATCGAGTGTTATACAAACCTGTCTTCAGGTGATCCCTCTGCCCTATTTTTTCACAGATCTATTAAAGATCAGGGCCAGTAAGAGCTACAGCCGAGAGCTGAAGTTGCCTCTCAGTGGTCCTCTCTACTGTACAACAACTTCAGATTTTTTAGCTGTGCTGCTGAATTTCGTTATTTTTTGCGAGGTTGTGCCTGGGCAGCAAAAAAGGCTGACAATTGCTGCTCCTATATTGACTTCTTTCCACAACGTCTACAGTATTTCTCACAGGAATTGGACCACAGGGTCTGAGCAATTGCAATTTGGAGAGCCCTATTCCCACAGCCTCGAAGCAGTGTTCTTATTTTATGACAGACCGACAAAAATAGACCTGTGAGCTAAAAACTCTTGGATTAGAAGCAATGAGTTGAGCACAAACGCTGTTTATATGTCTTTCTAGCTATTACTAATCCATCTATTCAATCATTAACTCATCTCTACCTCTATACATGTTACAGTGAGGACTACAAAGACGTGTTTCGTGTTTGTTTCATCTCATGGACCGTAGCTATAGCTGTTGCTTTTCTTCGAACAACACTACAGAAGTACATGGACATATGAAGTTCCATTTTGGGTGTTACTGGAGCCAGTAAAACAAATTTAAGTGAGATAAGCTAAGGGCAAAAAACATGGCTGGAACACCTGTCAGCCAAGCAAGCAATACCTCGAAACATTCTTCTCTTTAACCCTGAATACCTCCTTAACGGAAAAACCATTGTGAAATCGAAACAGAGATACATTATCTTTTACATCAACACTGAATCAAATGGCTCACTGTAATGTTGAACTGTTTGCTAGTACTGCTGGTGCCTCTGAGAATCACACTGTATCGCGTTATATCAGGCACTTTCTGTCCACACTGAACCTGTTAAATATGGAACTCTGTTATGTCATGTAAACAAACCACTTACCTATGTTTGCTCAGAGACGTTAGACTGGAGACTTAACCGCTGAAAAGATGGGCGAGTAGGCCTACATGCTTCCTACGTTTGTACTTTTTAAACAGAAAACATGTTTTTGTAGTGTGTTATCGACTGGAGATGAGATACAATGGCCAACAGCGAGTGGGTTGGTATTAGCCTTCAACTCCCAGGCGATCTCCCTCTGGCCAGCTGCCACCTTATTCAGGTTTTTGTAGTAAAATAAGGAAATGTCGTGTAGATAACTTCTCATTTTGACCTCGTGAATTAGCCGTTCCTCATTTATTGTGGTTCTATGAACGTGAGCAACATGAATAAAATAGAAATGGGGCATCTGACAAAGTTCAGCTCAAAACAGCTTGAGTTGCACTCGGCCAGTTGGGACATTACAGTAGAAAACAATATAATCAAGCCCATTGTCAATGTTCAAGTTGAAGAAAGTTGAGCCGATGAAAGATGTTTTTCACAATGCAGTAAAACGTCTGTAAATATTGCTCTCATGTTCTACAGTTGGCCAGTGAAAAGATCACATTGCGAAGCTCATGCTGTTCTATTTTTGTTAGCCTAGATGTGCAAGTAAGCAGATGTTAGCTTAAATGCTAACCATTAAGAGTCGATAACATATGTAGGACAAAAATCACTTAACCAGAGTTTGTCAGTTTGAAATACAGCCAAAAACCGTGTAACACTGCAAGTGTCTGCGTAGCGTCCGTCGCGTACGTCACTGTTTTTGCTCGATATTGATATTTTGCTTGTTATTGTTTTAAGTTTTTATCCTTTTTCACCTGTTAAAAAATCTTCTGTGGATAGAGAGACCAGAGAGACGTTAAACTAGGTCGTATCATTAGCCTCTGTCACCTCTTTGGTATCTTTGGTACTATACAGCAGTGACATAATACCAATGTTGACAACATTTGTTTGCTCTGTCAGTCACTTAATATTACATCACCTTTTTAAAGTTGTGTTTTCTGATTAAATCCACCAAAGTGCAACATTTCCTGGTGCAGATCTACATTTTGCAGTTTTTCCAGTATATGTTGTTGTTGCCTGACTCCATAACCGGGGCCACATTACTGTAGATGTCATCAAAAGCCAAACTGATGCAGCATCACAAAGGACTATGCTATACCAAACGCCCTAATCACACGCCATCCATCACAATTGCGCTCAGTTCTAATAGCTGCTTTATTACATTACAGCCTGTAATACAACTGAGACGCACAGATGCAGGCTTACTCGTCACACTCCGAGCATCACACACAGACAGAGCATGGGCATCTCCCTCTCTCTCTCACACACACACACACACACACACACACACAACTTATTTATTATATAATCTGCCAGATGATTCAGGCTATCAGAAGTAAAGGATGGAAAAGGGGGCTTTTTTCATAGACAGCAATGCACATGTCACATAATGACATTGTCTGGGATTTTGGACTATGGGGGGATAGTTTGTTTAGATTTCCTGGTCTTAAAGGCCGTGTTTCTGCTAAACTTTGGAGACAGCTGTGTGGGATGGAATAAATGCCTCTGGCTGTTTGCTCATCATATTGACTGTTTCTCTCTGAGTGTCTTCTGAAGACTCTGATTTGGTCAATAATGCCTTGCTCTTAAAGTACACAGAATGACAAACAACATTTAATATATTAAATTTAGAAGGATGCTCTATAGACTTTCTGTAAAGCTATGAATTTAGTTGCAGCATCAGATCCATGGGACCCGTATTGAATATTAAAGTAGTTATGTAGGAGACGCCTTTATGAATATGACTCTACAACTTAGGAATACTTAATGATATTTCATGCAGGCACAGCAAAGCTCTTCAGACTGAGCAGGAGGCCTACCGTGGGTGAGGTCAGCCGCCTGAGGCTCTCCCCCAGCGAGTCCAGGTTCACCCGTCTCCTCCTGGTGACCCTCTTGTGGGGTCCTTGCTGCTCCTCGCCCGCCGGGCACGCCGACCTGTCAGCGGGGCTGCGGCCGTTCCAGAGCACCGCTCTGTGGGAGGAGTGGAAGGAGGAGAAGGGGCAGCCTCGGCTCTCCTCCGCCGGCTCCAGCCCGCCGTCCCCTCCGTCTCCCCCTGGGCTCTCCAGCCCGCAGTCCGAGCCCACCGAGCTGCTGAACGACTCGGAGGAGATCTTGCGCGACGACGAGGACATGGTGGTAGTGAGGAAGAGGAGCAGGAGGAGGAGGAGGATGGTGGTGGTGATGACAGTGGTGGTGTTGAGGATGGTGATGATGCTACAGTCGGTTCCGTACCACGTCCACCTCTACGCCGGGAAGTCATCAGATAGTGGGGGGTGTGAGAGGGTTGGGTGGGTGAGGAGGAGAAGGGGGTGAGGTCTGTCTGTGTAATTATGTATGCATATGAGATATGTGTGTTTGCGTGCGCGTGAGATGATGTCCAGGTCCTTCTGTGTCTATGTGTGCACAGGCCTGTGAGATGCGTCTGTCTGCGTGTGAGACTCAGCAACCTATTCAGAGGGAGAGGGGGGGTCGACCGAGAGCGAGAGCACTAACGGCACGCAAACATTTATGTAAGGGGGGATGAGCAGGTGGGGGTCTCGCCTCCTAAAACCGTCCTCCTTTACCCCCAAAACAAATCACCCTGGGAGGCCAAACACTTTCCAAAGGATGCTTCAAATATAAAACATAAAAATAAACAGCCCTGGCAACAGTATTATTCAAAGCTGACATACAGTGGGCTCGCGCGCAACTATGTCAAAGCAGACGTTACCTTAACTTACGAAATTGCAGAAGAGAAAAACGACAAAAGGTCGCCACAATCGACATGTTGGTCCACAATGGTAATTCCGACACATGTTAATGATTCCTCTCACGCACGGTGAATTTTTGGCATCCGAAGAATGTGGCGTCTCCCCCTTTTCTCCCCACTTTGCCAGAGAGAAATCCCCAAAGTCACGGCAGATGTGACTGCTTCCCTCTCTCCTCCGTCCCTTCTCCTCCTCCTCCTCCTCGTCCTATGCGACAGCGGTTCTCCTGTCTGTCTCCCAGAACACCGTCCTCTCATCATTCCTCCATCTTCCACTTTATATTCCGTCACTGCTGCGCTTTGCTTTGGTCTCGTCTCGTCTCTTTTTGGGGTCGTCGCTGGGATTGCGGGGCGAAGAGGTGGCTGCAAGTGGAGGTGCGCGAGATGGAGAAACACGGAGAGACAGAAGGGAGAGCGCGCACGCGGGAAGCCAACAGCAGCACGCACCGGCAATGTTCTGAGCAGAGCGGAGCGCGCGCTGTGAAGCACGCATCAGCGCGCTGTGCTGCGTTTTAGTTGGACAATAAACCAGAGCCAATCGGATGGATGGATGGATAGATAGATAGATAGATAGATAGATAGATAGATAGATAGATAGATAGATGAGCTACAGTTGATATGTTGGCTAACTTAATTGGTGAAGTTAAAAGTGTATCCACAAGGGCACAAATGGGGTGCATCCTCCACTCCTTGACTACTAATCCTAACCCTGTTTTTGTTGCCTAAACCTAACCACGTGCTTTTGGTGCCTGAACCTAACCATGTGTTTGTTGCCTAAACCTAACCAAGTGTTTGTTGCCTGAACCTAACCATGTGTTTGTTGCCCGAACCTAACCATGTGTTTGTTGCCGAAACCTAACCATGTGTCTGTTGCCTGAACCTAACCATGTGTTTGTTGCCTAAACCTAACAATGTGATTGTTGCCTAAACATAACCACTTGCTTTTGTTGCCTCAACCTAACCACATGCTTTTGTTGCTTAAACCTAACCAAGTTGCCTAAACCTAACCACATGCTTATTTTGACCAAACCTAACCCTGTTTTTGTTGCCTGAACCTAACCATATGCTTTTGTTGCCTAAACCTAACCATGTGTTTGTTGTCTAAACCTAACCATGTGTTTGATGCCTAAACCTAACCATGTGTTTGTTGCCTAAACCTAACCACGTGTTTGTTGCCGAAACCTAACCATGTGCTTTTGTTGCCTAAACCTAACCATGTTTTTGTTGCCTAACCCTAACCACTTACTTTTATTGCCTAAACCTAACCACATGCTTTTGTTGCTTAAACCTAACCACGTGTTTGTTGCCTAAACCTAACCATGTGCTTTTGTTGCTTAAACCTAACCACGTGTTTGTTGCCTAAACGTAACCATGTGCTTTTGTTGCTTAAACCTAACCACGTGTTTGTTGCCTAAACCTAACCATGTGCTTTTGTTGCTTAAACCTGATCATGTGTTTGTTGTCTAAACCTAACCACGTGCTTGTTGCCTAAACCTAACCACTTACTTTTATTGCCTAAATCTAACCACATGCTTTTGTTGCTTAAACCTAACCATGTGTTTGTTGCCTGAACCTAACAATGTGATTGTTGCCTAAACCTATGTGTCTATTGCCTGAACCTAACCATGTGTTTGTTGCCTAAACCTAACAATGTGATTGTTGCCTAAACCTAACCACTTGCTTTTGTTGCCTCAACCTAACCACATGCTTTTGTTGCTTAAACCTAACCAAGTTGCCTAAACCTAACCACATGCTTATTTTGACCAAACCTAACCCTGTTTTTGTTGCCTGAACCTAACCATATGCTTTTGTTGCCTAAACCTAACCATGTGTTTGTTGTCTAAACCTAACCATGTGTTTGATGCCTAAACCTAACCATGTGTTTGTTGCCTAAACCTAACCACGTGTTTGTTGCCGAAACCTAACCATGTGCTTTTGTTGCCTAAACCTAACCATGTTTTTGTTGCCTAACCCTAACCACTTACTTTTATTGCCTAAACCTAACCACATGCTTTTGTTGCTTAAACCTAACCACGTGTTTGTTGCCTAAACCTAACCATGTGCTTTTGTTGCTTAAACCTAACCACGTGTTTGTTGCCTAAACGTAACCATGTGCTTTTGTTGCTTAAACCTAACCACGTGTTTGTTGCCTAAACCTAACCATGTGCTTTTGTTGCTTAAACCTGATCATGTGTTTGTTGTCTAAACCTAACCACGTGTTTGTTGCCTAAACCTAACCACTTACTTTTATTGCCTAAATCTAACCACATGCTTTTGTTGCTTAAACCTAACCATGTGTTTGTTGCCTGAACCTAACAATGTGATTGTTGCCTAAACCTATGTGTCTGTTGCCTGAACCTAACCATGTGTTTGTTGCCTAAACCTAACAATGTGATTGTTGCCTAAACCTAACCACTTGCTTTTGTTGCCTCAACCTAACCACATGCTTTTGTTGCTTAAACCTAACCAAGTTGCCTGAACCTAACCACATGCTTATTTTGCCCAAACCTAACCCTGTTTTTGTTGCCTGAACCTAACCATATGCTTTTGTTGCCTAAACCTAACCATGTGTTTGTTGTCTACACCTAACCATGTGTTTGTTGCCTAAACCTAACCATGTGTTTGTTGCCTAAACCTAACCACATGCTTGTTGCCTAAACCTAACCATGTGCTTTTGTTGCCTAAACCGAACCATGTTTTTGTTGCCTAAACCTAACCACTTACTTTTATTGCCTAAACCTAACCACATGCTTTTGTTGCTTAAAAATAACCACGTGTTTGTTGCCTAAACCTAACCATGTGCTTTTGTTGCTTAAACCTTACCACGTGTTTGTTGCCTAAACCTAACCATGTGCTTTTGTTGCTTAAACCTGACCACATGTTTGTTGCCTAAACCTAACCACGTGTTTGTTGCCTAAACCTAACCACTTACTTTTATTGCCTAAATCTAACCACATGCTTTTGTTGCTTAAACCTAACCATGTGTTTGTTGCCTAAACTTAACCATGTGTTTGTTGTCTGAACCTAATCATGTTTGTTGCCTAAACATAACCCTGTTTTTGTTGCCTAAACCTAACCACGTGCTTTTGTTGCCTAAACCTAACCATGTGTTTGTTGCCTAAACCTAACCACGTGCTTTTGTTGCCTAAACCAAACCATGTGTTTGTTGCCTAAACCTAACCATGTGCTTTTTTGCCCAAACTTAACCCTGTTTTTGTTGCCTGAACCTAACCATGTGCTTTTGTTGCCTACACCTAATCATGTGTTTGTTGCCTAAACCTAACCCAGTTTTTGTTGCCTAAACCTAACCATGTGCTTTTGTTGCCTAAACCTAGCCATATGTTTGTTGCCTAAATCCAACCATGTATGTTTTTTGTTGAAGGAAAAAAACGTTCAGTTCTTGGTGTTGGTATTTATTTTGCAAGAGACTGTAAACGTTAAATTTCCTGTGAAAATGGAAGTGTATCTTGAAAGAACAGAACACATGGTGTCCCAGAATGTCACCAACTATCACATCCACATCCAAGTCCATGACCAAGACGTCAATATGTGACAAGGTCGGGGTGAGAATGTGTTGCCCATGGTCAAAATTTCATTTACGGTGAATAATTAGGTTAACAGAAGATGTGCTGATCTCCAAAAGGCATGATGCTAAAGATTAAACATTTCTTTGGGCATGATTAGGCATAATCAATCTTTTCCGGTTTCAATATCACAAAAAGGAAAAGGGTCTGAAGCTAAAGTCTGGGCACGTTGCATGGCTAGTACCTGGTAGCGTCTCCTTTGCCAAGTATCACAGCTTCTAAAGACTTTTTGTAACCAGCTAAGAGTCTGTTAGTTCTTGTTTGGAGGATTTTTACCCATTCGTCCTTGCAAAAGCTTCTAGTTCAAAACATTCTCACTCCAACCTCGTCACATATCAATGTTTGGTCATGGACGTGGAAGGTACCCTGGGTGTGTTGGTTGTTGACGATCTGGGGGCAGTGTATCAAGGTCTGCCTGTTACATGTATTGTCTTCTTTCAAAATACACTTCTGTTTTCACTGGAAATTTACTGTTTACATACAGTCTTTCAAAATAAATGCACTACATCGACACAACGCAAACTGGCATTGTTTTACCTTCAACAACAAAGACATGTTGTTGAAGGCAACGGTCATTTTGTCTGCGGCCATTTTGACTTGACCAGCAGACTTCACTACAAGCCATTTGGCAGTAGAAACAGGTGGCGTGCTTTACCTGATGCATGATCCTAAATGAAGTAAATACAGCCAAATTACCAAAAGAAAACTTAACTTTGAGCCAGACAATACTACTCCATCATGTAAGGACTGTGTGATATAGTTTGGCATTTTGAAGAAATAAAGTAAGTGGACCCTCAGTGAGGATTGTTTTGACATTCTATTTTTGACACACTTTCACGGATCATGCAACACATCCATCTCCATGGCAACTAAGTGAACTCAGACAGCTGTCAAAGACAATGTAAAATGGTTAAAAGTTCAAGGAGGAAGCCAAGTGGACCTTCATTTTGGATTGTTTTGTCAAAAATATTATTGCAGCACAGGAATACTGGTCTCTGTTGTGTGCACTGTACTTAATGGGAATTTACAATGCAGAGAGATAGCAGGTGAGGTTGAGGAGGGGTCAATAGGGGCCCAAAAGCAAATGTTTGCCCCAGGGCCGACTAATATGTTAATCCAGTCATGTCTGTCGGGATGCATTTGTTTCAATAAAAGAAACTTAATTACAGTCGGACTATTATTCCTCTTTATCTCTACTTAGTGTCATTTACAGTTTCCTATCACTGTGACATCTTGGCAGGTGATAAACAGGTGCTTGCTCCTCAATTATCTAACTGGAAATGGTAATCAAGCAACATCTCATTATAATCAAACAACAGTCATGGCCAATAAGCCAAGTTCATGGCAATGTGCCAAATGTGCTCAACATGGGTATACAAGGACGAACATGGCTCCACATGCAGATAATGGAGCTGGCAGTGGTGGCACACGCTTGTTGCCTCCCATCAGAGAACAGAACGATGTTCATGTCTGGCTCTAATAACAGTCATGACCTTGACCTCGATTGGCAGAGGATGTGTGTTCATTGAGGGCCCCAAAGGGACAAGCAGAGAGACACTGAAACAGACATGATGCATCATGCATGTATACACACACACACGCACACACACACACACACACACATACACACACACACACACACACACACCACAGTGTAATTTCCTGGAGGTGCCGACTAATTCATTTGACTTTCTGGAGCAGCGTGACCCCAATACATTGCATAGAATTTTGCTCCTTCTTTCTCTCTAACACACACCCACATTCTCCCTTTCTCCCTCACATAGCCCGCACCGACACACCGCTACACACACACACACCCTGCCTCTTTTTCCTTATCTGGTCGCTTGCTCTTAGCAATCAGTCTGCCATCCATCAGTAATAATGTGGGCATTTAATAAAGC